GAATCTGAGCTGGTACTTGAGCCTTTACTTGCTTCCACATGTTGATAAGTTATCTCCAAAGCAGAGATGCCCCAAAGCTGTCCTTCTGGTGGGGTGTAGGTATTATACTCTGCAAAGAAGCTAAAGGTTTTGATTTCTTCAGATCCAGAGTCTGGCCACAGACTCCTGATCCTCTTAGGGATAAGGAAATACTAGAATAAAAGTCTTTTCCCTTTGTGAGGCTCAGGCATCACTCCTATAGTTTGTTTTCAACAGAACTAAGATCTTTTCTCAACCTTTCCCATAAAGAATCCATGAAAAAGCAGATGAGCTGGAATTTGGCATATAGCTTTGAACAGGACGTCAAGCGAAATGATTTCCCCTGCCTGAAAGAGTTGGGACAAGTGTTCCCCAGATAGTGGGAAGGAAGAAACTCTGGATCTCCTGACCGGTTTGAGGTCATCCTGCACATCCTCAGGTTTGTTTGAAGATCTGCTTCTTCCAACAGGGAAGTGCTTCACAAACTTTCTAGATATGTGAGTCAGCAGACATGCAGATAAGGTCTGCTGAGATTGCCCCTTGTGCAACCTAAAGGAAAATTTTCTGCAAGGAACAGACTAACACAACCCAAGAGATCTGACAGTTTATCTTACAGCCTTTAATTTATCCAAGACCTCATCTGTTTTAGGACTAAAGTTTCTTCAAAGCACTCTGACTGGAGAATACAGAACTCCAAAGCAAGTCTCTCTCCTGTGGATATCTGCTGAATGAGATGTGGCCACTGTATCAGATTTCATACAAGACCATCTAGGAGCATCTACAGCTCTTGACAGTCAGACTTCAAACAACTTTGCTTTGCCTCTGAAATGACCTGACTCCCAAGAGGCCATCTCGGACCACAACCCCACCAGGGTACTGTCCCTGTAAATTGATCAGTGGCTTCAACTTTTGGATCACAAACATAAGTACTTCTGTAACTCCCATCCCCACAGTATCAGAATATCTCTTTAGTGAACTAATCACCCAGCCCCCTTCAAGGCAAGGACAAATTAGACAAATTGACTTTGCCCAATGTCATACAGAAATTCTGTGGCAGAACTAGGAACTGAACTTTGATATCTCAAATCCCAGTTCACAGTGCCTTACCTACAATGAACATCGTCCTACAGGCCAGAGACTGATACCCCTATTTCCCTAACATAGCTAAGAAACTTTCATCTTCCCTACCCCATTCTCCAAAGTCTACTGGACTGCTGCTACGTTAGCCACTTCTCACAACTTTCTCCTCTAGTAAAGTCTGAGAGAGAGAATTTGCTATTCCAGCTTCTGAGGTGGTTTTTAAGGGAGGTCTTCCTCCATGAATACTTCTGCTGCTTCTCCAGGACTACTTCAGTGCAAAGTACAAACCTTTAAGTCAGTGTCTGCAGCATCAACACAGGAGTTACTGCACAGCACTTTAGCACACACCGCTATTCGCTCCCCATAGTCCAAACTACAAAGCAGTATAGACATGGCCTAAGTGTCAAAATATTTTAAAGGGCTAGAAACTTTTTCAATGAAAGCTTAAAATCTGTAGAAATGTATGGTTTAGGAGCCCTTCCCATACAAAGGGATGCGATTCCCTTCTCCCCCTCCCCCAACAACACCCTGTTTAAAGTTAGCATTTTAGAATATGCATTTCACTCTACTGGAATGCCTCCTATGTTAGAATAAAAAGGCTATATGTAGTTTTAGTTGCAAGAGCACATGCCACAGCCATTTTTCAAATATTTAGAGATAAATTGTCTACAGACAACATTTGGATTATGGTTATTTTAAAGTGCCCCATCCTTCCCCAAAATTATAATTATCTTGGAATATGGGACTAGCATTCAAGGGCAGCCACCATACCAACACCCTTGTGAACAGATGAAAGAACAGTTATTCAGTTTCAGTCTTCCATCTGTTACAAGGACTGAAATTTCTTCACGTCTTGAGTTGTTAAAACACAAAGAATTAAAGGTTGAGTGATTAAGCCATGTTACGACCTAACCACTTCGGGCTAGATTTGAGCACTGAAACAAGTGCCTAGTACAAATGGTAAAGTCCATGCTAACCATGCCTACTAGTGTTCTGCATGATATTCACACTAGTGCTGTTCTACAGTTGGCTACAACTCCCTCTGGGTACTTCTCAGTTCCTGGCACAAACCTGCAGAGACAGTGGACTCTAGGAGACTTTGAAAAGGCCACTGTCTGAACCACTTGTCATTTTAATGCTGTCTACAGGGGTGCCAGACTTGTGCAGAGTGAAAGGATACCAACTAAACTGGAATTTAACCCATCTGAAAGCAAAGGTAAGCCAAATGGTATTTGACAGGCGTATCAGTTTGGTGAACGTGTGTAGACCCAGTGGTACCCTTAGCGTATCTGTAAAATCACAATTATTTTCAACATGAGAAATTACCAGCTAGCTATAGTGGTTTAATTCCAGAAGAAGAGAGCCTTTTTCAAAGCTAGCTTAAGACACTTTAAAGTTTGCCAAAGCAACATAAGCTACACCAGAAAAAGGCACTCTTACTCGATAAGTACAGGTCCACGTGGGGGAATTATATAGCTATAGGTAGCCTGGTATAATTATGCCAATAAATTTCCCCGTGTAGACAAATCTCAAGCTTACAAGCTTTTTCAAACTGGTACATTTTGGCACTCCATGAGCTACTTTAATTTGATCAATGGAAAACATTAAAATAAAGCTTCCTGAACACTTACAAATGCCATGCAATCACAGCAGAAAAAAAATTAGTCCATTGCTGGATGCATCAGAACAGAAATGGCCTCAAAGATCTCCACATCAGCCACCAGCTATACATTTTATCCAACTTTTGAGTTAGAATCGAAACTCCTAATCCACCCTTGAAAACACACAGGAAGGTTGCACACTTGGGGTTTGGACTTAAAAGTCAGAGTTCAGGGCTGGATCTTGTTTTGGAGAAGTATGCCATTTGTTTGGCAGACTAAGTAGGGTAGCAAAAGATTCCTAAATAATATACTCTTGGACAGCTGTCCTTTTCAGATCTTTATTAGATACTAAGGGGATGACTACTTAAGAATTTCTTATAATGCTTTCCAGAGTACAAGAGAAACTGACAGTCTCCTACAAAAAGGCTAAGAGACAGGAGACTTTTCTGGCCTACAGGAACAGACTTTTTTAGGTGTATTTTCTTTCAGATGTGTTTATTAACTATATTCTGATGAAGCCACTTGTAAATGAGCAGTAGCATACAATAAATGGCATTGTACTATTATGTCTAGCTGAATATACGTATTCAGCTAATCAGTTTGACAACTATGGTCACTTCACCCTCCACTAACAGACAACCAAGTAGTGGTAGAGGGGATTAAAAGGGAGGAATAGATTAGGAAAAATTAGTAGGCACTACCACCTACCAAAATACAAGAATCTGATACAGTGTAGCTTCCGATTAGCAAATATTAAATCTGAAACTGGGCAGAATAACAATCTACTAGATACAGTAGTTACAAAGGTCAGTTAAGGCTTTCACTAGAAGGTTTAAAATTCTTACTGGGTAAGTTTTCCAGCTGAGGAAAAATACAAGCTCATACAGCAAGTACATGTGTCTATTAACGTTGCCACACTCAATACTGAAGTTAAACAAAAGCAAACTTGCACCTGGGAAGGACTTCCTGAGTTTCAAGGTCTGGGGTTACATAGCAACTCCTACAAAAAGGATTACCTCCAGCCTCAAAAGAAAACTCCTGGGCAGCACCTTACATGTCCTCCACAGAGGAGGGAGACTTTGAGCAGAAAGCTTGTTAGGATCGGAGGATCTTACTCCCTGTATTAGAGTCTTATTTGTTAAGCTTTGATAATCAAAATGAGTTTACCACTTTTGACTCTTGGGGATTATGCAAAGACCACATAACTAAGTGAGCAATCAGGACTCTCTTCTGCCTCAGATTTTGCCACCCAGCTTTAAAAAATATATAGTTGATTTAGGTCCTTCAACTCATAAAAGATCTAGAGGTTTTTCTGCGTGTTTACCATTACAAATTTCAGCTTCTGTGGGTGCCTATTGTGAGCACTAACCCCCTAACAGAAGACAAAGTGTTCAAGATTTAATAATGGTTTTCTTTAGTCAAGAAAAGTTATTGACCTTAAATACGTGTTGATAAAAACCCAGAAGGTTTGAGGAGTCTGGTTACAATCCCTCACCGTCAGTTTTTCAGCTTTCACTTTCTGCTCTTATGTCACTAATCTCTCTCTATAGCCTACAGAGCCAACATGTCTCTCGTAAGAGACTACCTGGGTCTTTGAAAGACACCTGCCAGGCCATCTTCGAGCCTCAAAACAACAAAGAGATGCAAAAGCCCAAAACCGCCCCGTGCCGGGTCCCTTCAGGCCAGCTCGGTTCGCCCGGCAATGGCTGAGAAGGGACGGTCCCGGACCGGCCAGAGCTCGCGGGGCTGGCAGCGACAATGAGCATCTCTATCTCGGCCACGCGAGTTGGCTGGCTCCGGATTCAGAGCCGCCTGCGCGGAGCCCCGCTCTGGGGTTGCGGGAAGCCCCTTCCCGAGAAAGCTCCCTCTCGGCCGAGCGCACATGGGCCGGCGGGCAGCCGCTCGGGGCTCGCCTCGCAGCAGGGGAGGCCCAGCTCCTGCGCGGGTAGCCCCTACCAGCGAGGTTACGTAAGGGGGGACGGGCTGTCCCCCACCCGGCCTCCCTCACCACTAGGCCGCCCCCAGCCTCCTGATGGGGACCAAAGAAGGAACCCGGGCAGCACCCCCCGCCCAGTACTCGGGAGCCGGGTCCCTGCGCTCCCCGGGGGGCGAGGCCAGGCCCTTCGCGGGGCCTACAGCACAGCCGCGGCCCGGCCCCTGGCTGCGGCCTGACTCGGCCGGGTGCGGACAAGGAGGCCGAGGTGGCGGCCGGGAACAGGAGAAAGCCTCTCTCCCGGGCGGCCGAGCAGGAGCCCGGCCGGGCCCGCCCTACGCGCGACGCCCCAGCCCGTGAGCCCTTACCTTATGGATTCTCTTCAGCGCCATTGTGTGTGTGAGGGGCTCGGTGCGGGGAGGGGGCGCGCGGCTCGGGCGGTGTGGGGGAGGGAGGGGAGCTCGCTCGGGATTATTTCGCGGGGGGAGGGGCGCGGCGGTGGCGGCGCTATTGGGAGGGGGAAGGTGGCGCGGAGGGAGTCTCGGTGCGGCGGGAGGGCCTCACTCTCTGTTCCCCCGGCGGCCGCTGGGCTCTTGCTCGCTGCCGCAGCTGCTACCGCATCACTCCGCGGGGCCTTTATGCGCTGCTGCCTCCGAGGCCGTATCACTCCGCCACTATCCCAATAGTCACCAGCGGGGCAGCCGGGCGGAGGGGCAGCAGCACCTGGTGATGAGGCCCGCTCGGGAACAGGGACTATTTTCCCACTCTCCTTTCACACAGAACTCTCCAGAAAGGGGCTCGGAGAAGCGGAAGGATACGATCTAGGAGGGAAGGGGATGGAGTGAAGTGACTTCTCGCGAGAAGAGAAAGAAAGAGGTTCCGGACAGTGGAGGGGCAGAGTAGCAGGGAAACCTAGAGCGGCTGCGCAGTGCGGAGGGGGCCCGGGCCTGGAGCAGGGAGGTTCCGGATGGCGGCTATAACCCCGCACCCGGCTGCAGTGTGCATCGGGACCCGGCGCTGGGAAGGGGAGAGTCTGTCTCCTTCCCGCCCGGGGCCCCGTCCCCTTCTCTCTCCGGCCTTGGCCCATTGCCCCCCCCTCCCCTTCTCCTCCAGGGAACCCCATCCCCTTCTCTCTCCGGCCTGGGCCCATTGCCCCCCTCACACACACACACGCTCCCCCCACCTCCCTTTCCTCTCCAGGGGACCCCGTCCCCTCCTCTCTCCGGCCTGGGCCCATTGCCCCCCCCCCACGTGCTGCTGCCCGTCTCCCTTTCGCCTCCAGGGGACCCCATCCCCTCCTTTCTCCGGCCTAGGCCCGTGCCCACCCTGCCTCGCTTGCCCTCCCCCGCTCTCCTCTTCCAGGGGCCCTGTGCTCCTCGCTCTTGGGCTGGAGGCTATGCCCCAGTTCTAGCTCCCTGAGCAAGTGCCTGCGCGCACTAGGGTTCCTTCCCCTAGGTCCTGCCAGGGCTTGTGCCCAGAGGCACCAGTGGGCAAGGTCAGGTGCACTTTGGCCTACCTCTTAAGGCAGAGGTGGACAAACTACAGCCGGGGGGTCACATCTGGTCCTCCAGATGTTTTATTCTGGTCCTCAAGCTCCCACCGGGAAGCAAGGTCTGGGGCTTTCCCTGCTCCGGTGCTCCAGTTGGGGAGCGGGGTCGGGGTCTTGCCCCACTCAGCATGGCTCCTGGAAGCAGCGGCATGTTCCCCCTCCGGCTCCTATGTGTAGGTGCAGCCAGGAGGCTCTGCACACTGTCCCCACCCCAAGTGCTGCCCCTGCAGCTCCTATTGGCCAGGAACTGCAGCCAGTGGGAGCTGTAGTGGCGGTGCCTGCGGACAGGGCAGTGACCAAGGCTGTCTGACCACACCTCTGCATAGGAGCTGGAGGGAGGACATGCCACTGTTTCTTGGAGCTGCTTGAGGTAAGCACCGCCCAGAGCCTGATTCCCCCTCCAACCCTCTCAGTCCTAGCCCAGAGCATCCTCCTGCACCCCAACTCCTTCATCCCCAGTCCCACCCCAGAGCCCGCACCCCCAGCTGGAGCCCTCCTACAATTTTGTGAGTATTCATGGCCTGCCATACAATTTCCATACCTAGATGTGGTCCTTGGTTCAAAAAGTTTGCCCACCCCTGCCTTAAGGGCTCAGAATGATAAGCCTTTGGCTCTGCTTTCCTGCTTGGTGACCCACAACATGATCTAAGCCATGGCAGTGACAAGGGAGATAGATCCTCTCATGGACTTTCTCTGAAAGGAGAAGTTGGAGGTCTCTAGGAGTAATGGGCATCTGCACAAAGGCTGGTCCTGTGAAAGTCTAGACTTTCTGCTCTACAGGCAGTACTGAAAGGACTTGAGGCCTAGTTGGGAATGAGGTGGGAGGAGGTTCACTTTTAAATTTCTGTGCTAAAGGCTGTAATACTACTTGTTCTTTATTCCCCCATGGTTGTAGGTAACCCTGCAGTGGGAGAAGCAGGAATAAGGCATCCTGCAGCCTGTCATCATACAGACCAGGCTGAGACGCTACCTTTCTTCCACATAGCATAATTTCTTGCCACTCAGCTGCAAAAATGTGAAAGTGTCTGGAAGAATGCATCTTTTGGTTGCTCCTGTTTTCTGTGCCTCTCCTTTTCCTGCCTGTCCGTTGCTTGCCCTCTTTGATGTACATTTGGTGCCTTGTTCATAGTGTGCCATGTAATAGTAATTTGAAAGTAGTTTAAAATGAGTTGCATGCACACTCAGTACAGTTAAAAGAACACATTGAAAAATCATGCAAGTGAGTACCTGAAGGTACCAGTTCATAGCAAAGTTTGAACTGTTAAATACACAGACAAAGCCATGTGGCACGCAGTCTTCTGGCAAATTGTTCTCAACCATAATTCTACTGTATTTTTGAACAGTAATTCATCTTGTTACAGCAGTGCCTCAGGGCTGGTGGTATTGCACATACACAGAGTAGTCAATTCCTGCCCCTGAAGAGCTAATGATCTAAATAGATAAGATACTCACACTGGGAGGAAAGGGGTAGGACACGGAGGGAGAGTGAACAAGGTGATGGCAGCAAATGTCATGTTCTATGATTTTTGGAGGGGAGTGGGTTTACTTAAGAGGGGATAAGCTCAATGAAAAGGGAATCAGGTGGGGAATGGGATAGGTGAGGGGAGAAGAGAGTGGAGCTGAGGTGAAGGATGAGGGATAGGGTGCAAACAGCCAATTAACACAAGGCAGAGAAAGTCCAGTTGAAAGTGTAGAAAGTGCTGCTATGGTTTAAATTATAGCATGGACAATTTGTCAACAGCAGCTTTGGAGAAGAATAGCCACCACCAGGCATTTTCTCAGCTTTGTCATGTGCTATGTGGAAATAAAAACAGCAATTCCAGCTATTTAACCAGCTGCCTAGCTGGAAGTATCAGATTTTTTTTTTTAACTGATTATGTATCAACAGTTATTTTCTGTGATCCCAGCACTTCCACCACTAACAGTGGAATTCATGACTTATTACCCATTTGGAGTATAATAATACATATATGATGACTCACTACATTTGCGTAAGGAAAAGAAAAAAATCAAATTGCTTTATTGTCTTATTTGATTTCATATAGCTCAGTGGCTTGCGCATTGGCCTGCTAAACCCAGGATTGTGAGTTCAATCCTGGAGGGGGCCACTTAGAAATCTGGGGCAAAATCAGTATTTCGTCCTGCTAGTGAAGGCAGGGGGTTGGACTCAATGACCCTTCAGGGTCCCTTCCAGCTCTATGAGATAGGTATATTGCCATATATTATTTCTGGTTAGGGGCATGCAATCCTATCACTACTTACTCTAGTGGTGTGCTTCTGTGGGCTGGTCTACACTGGGGGGGGGGAAATCGATCCAAGATATGCAACTTCACGCGAATAGCGTAGCTGAAGTCAAAGTATCTTGGATCGAATTACCTGGGGTCCACACGGCGCGGGATCGACGGCCGCGGCTCCCCCGTCGACTGCGCTACCGCCGCTCGCTCTGGTGGAGTTCCGGAGTCGATGGTGAGCGCGTTCGGGGATCGATATATTGCGTCTTAACGAGACGTGATATATCAATCCCAGATAAATCGATTGCTACCCGCCGATACAGCGGGTAGTGAAGACGTACCCTGTAAGGGAGACAGAAGGAAGGAAGACACTTCCCTTGTAAGGATCCTCCTCCTGTGAGACAATTGCAAGCCATCTGGAGACCTAAAACTGAGGAAATGGCTCATTAGTTCAAGTGAGCTGGTAGATGAATCATTGTCATGTAATCTACCCTTGCTGACACAAAATTGGGAGGGTTGGACAAAACAATGTGGAAACTTAGTCACATTCTGCCTAATACAATCCAGGTTAAACGTTCAACACCCTTGCTGGATGGGGTGTAACAACTACAACCCATACTCACTGGGGACACCAGCCTGAAAGAAATCTTTCCTGAACTAGGAATGTAAAATATTAAATGGTTAACCAGTAAGCATTAGTCTTACTGGTTAACCCACCCTAACTGTTAGCCCACAGCCATAGTGGGCCAGCTGGCATGGCCCCAACCCTGCGCCAGCTGGCTAGAGCAACCCCAGCCCCATGCCTCCGAGAGTAGCCCCAGCCATGCCTGCCAGCCCCTCCCTTATATCCGTTAACTAATTCAATTTTAATTGTTTAAATAGTTAACTTTTAAAACAATATTTACATCTCTTTCCTGAATCCCCTCTTCTGGCCTTCCAACCACCCCCTCCCCCCACATCTCCAAGCTCATCGTCAGAAGCAAGCTCCCCACAGACCCTGCCAGAACAGATGCAAAAGGCTGCAGATATATCTACTCTGTTAGAACAATCAACACCCCCCTCAACACACCTTTCAAGATCCATGGGTCCTACACATGCCAATCTCAACATGTGGTGTACCTCATCCAATGCATTAAATGCCCCTATAACAACTATGTGGGTGAAACCAATCATTATGCTCTTGAATGAACTCACACAGGAAAATTATAAAAGACAAAAACCACCATATTACATGTGGGTGAACACTTATCACAGAGTGATCACTCTATGTCTGACCTATCAATCCTCATCCTCAAAGGAAACCTGCACAACACTTTTAAAAGATGAGCCCGGGATCTTAAATTCATAACTTTGCTAGACACTAAAAATCATGGTCTTAATAAAGATACTGGGTTTATGGTTTATTACAACAATCTGTACCTACTAACCCCCTTTTTTGTCCTACAATTACAGGAGTGTTAGGCCACTTCACCTTGAATGGTCCCTTAGAATATGTGTATGTAGATGATGTAGGGAGGAGGGGTTTAGATTTATTGGGAACTGGGGAAACTTTTGGAAAAGGGGGAGCCTATAGAACAAGGATGGGCTCCACCTAAATCAAAATGGAACCAGGTTGCTGGCACTTAAAAAGGTTATAGAGCAGTTTTTAAATTAAGGGCTGGGGGGGAAACCGACAGGTGCGGAGGAGCATGTGGTTCGGACAGAGACATCCCTTAGGGGAGGATCTATTAATGGAGATTGTCTATGTCCTAGTAAGGAGGAGAGGATGGAAGTTGATAAAATAGAGGTAGGATCTGATGAGAAACAGTCAAATGAAAAAAGTCCCATTCAATTACATCATGTAATGGCAGACAGCTAAAAAGTGACAAGTTTTTAAAGTGCTTATA